AGTGTCTGCAGCTGTGGAGATACTGGACAAAGGGATGATTCACATACCAGCTGGTTTTTGTAATCCTAAAAACTATAGTAAGGAAGCAAAGTCCATGAAGTTAAGGTTAACCCTATGATACGCTTTCTGAGATTTGAGTTATAGGATGTGTGTGTGTGTGTGTGTGTGTGTGTGTACATGCTACAAAGAAAACACTTCAGTGGTGCAGTGCTTAGGAAGCATGTCCTTGAATAATAATCATCATTAGAACTAAATTTCCAAAGCTCTGTAACACAATTGCTCTTCACAACTATCAAATTCCAATAGTGAAAATGATTAAACTGATGCTCAGGGAATTTCAGGAAATTTATTCAGGGTCACAACATTAAAGATTGAATTGAACCAGAGCCTTCTAATTTCTGGTCCAACATGCTCTCCTCTATACCTCAATGACTTGCTCAAACTTAGAGATGTTTTGTATTTTTTGGAAGGAAGTGTGTTGATTCCTTCATTTAAAAAGACATGGATATTGAAAGAATGAGTGGCTACAAACAAAATACACAAGCCATAGGATGTCATGGAATTCTATTTCATCTTAATACCACCATATGTTCTACCTGTGAACGTATGTGAAATTACCTTTTGAAAGTCAGTTATTTTCACTCTTAACAACACTGTATATGGCTCTTCTCACCTACATTATTCCAGAAGGTTAATGTTAATTTTCCATGAATGCAGAATCCCTGAGGGGTAGAGTACAGGTTCTCTGAGAGTAGACACAGAAGTAATTTCTATTAAAAGAAATAGGACTGGAAGGGCAGGTGATTAGCCCGAGGCAGGACTGGGTCTACTCTGTGCCTATAACGAGGGGTTGAAGTAAGAGAAGTGGAATATCCCTAAATCATCTATATCCCCCAGTCAGTGTGTGTGTGTGTGTGTGTGTGTGTGTGTGTGTGTGTGTGTGTTTCCATACTCAGACACATGTGACATTTCCAGTATGATCCCAGTACAAATTTTTCTGTCCTATTTTCAACTTGTACTAAATCAAAATTTTTCATTTATGAAATATCAGATGAGGCTTCTCTTGTTCTTCCTCTTACACCTGTTGAGTACTTGGCCTCCCTCCCAAAAAAGGTTTTCTTATCTTGACTCCTTAAGAAAAGAGAGTAGGCTTTAAGCCATCTGAGAGTGGTTAGTTTTACTGTAGCGCCCCCTAGTGCTGCATGAGATCAGATTCACTTTCTATCTGTAGAAATATGTAAACCACAGAACAAATGTAATTTAGAGACGCAGCAATTTGGGTAATTTTTCCTATATTTTCTTTTGCATGGAATGGAAGGAAGTGTGTTCCCTAGCATGAGTCACAAGACCTTTCAAGCTTTACCTTCCACAATTTTGCCCTAAAAACAGTCTACTTCAACCATTTTGAACAATCAATTGAACAATTACCTAGAAAATCTTCTACCCCTTCCCCACCACAACCATCCTTCTTGTCTACTTAAAGACGTTTTACTCTTCCTTCTAATATTAGCTGTAGCATTACCTCTTTCCCAGCTCTTATCCTCTCTGGTTTTCTTATCTGTAAGTAGACTATGTGTAATGCCCGCTCAATGCAATGATTCTATACATTATTATTAGTACCCCCTTTAGAGCCTCCAAATACTTAGTGACAAATTAGCTCAATACTTCAGATGTTTCTTTGTTATTACCATAGAATCGCTTATGAAATGTAAATTCATTTGCATTGAAAATCATTTATTAGCGTGTCTGGCTCCCCCCCCCCCCTTCCCCCCCAAAAAATGAATTTCTGCAACTCTTGTTAGGTTACATGGGGATACATTTAAACTGAACTAATCTGAAACAAGATTTTTCAGGCAAAAAAAAGCTTATTTTTCTCTCTAAACCAGTGATTCTCAACCTTTCTAATGCCACCAAAATACAGTTTCTAGTGTTGTGGTGACCCCAACCATAAAATTATTTTCATTGCTACTTTATAACTATAATTTTGCTACTGTTATTAATCATAATATAAATATCTGTGTTTTCCAATGGTCTTAGGCGACCCCGCTAGCGGTTAAGAACCACAGGTTGAGATAAAAGTAAATTGAGCTACTTTTCTCCCATTGTTCCAAGCTAAATAACAGGTAAAACTAAAAGCCTACTATTTTAAATAAATATCCAAATAGCATTTATTGTTTTTGGTGACAGAAGCACTCAGTTTTATAATTTGTACCATAGATATTCTTCTAGCATCCATTTCTTTCCTCCTTCTCAATAGGGCATTTTGCTAACACATAACAGGTTATTGAGATATGTACAACTATAGGTGCAAATTTTATTTTCTCCCATCCCTTCTTAAGGACCAGGAAATTCATCTCGGGCACAAAAATCTACTAACTTATATTTTGTATTTATCAAAACCTCATTCCATTCTCTGAATATATAAAGTACATATTCATAGAATATTGAGCTGGAAGAGATCTTTCTGATCATTTGATCCAATTACTTAAACATGAGGAAATCAAAGCCCAAAGAGGGTAGTGACTTATATGAGAGGGAAAGGTCTATCTTTTATTTTTCTGACATTCTAAAATGAGAACGTCTGCTTTGCAAGAAATCAACCTAATGTCATGGAATGATTAGGGGAAAGTTAGTTGCTCAGTGAGTTTAATAGTTACATCTGTGTTTTACAGAGCCTTTCATATAATCAATTATTTTATAAAGCTAAAAATTAGATCTAAAATATGAGGGAAATTCTTATTCTCCAAATATATTTTTCCTACAATAAAAAAATCCAACTTAACTGGGTGAATGATGAGTAGTTTAGCTCACTTGGGATAACACCCAAAAGGAAATTCATTGCAACATTACATCCCATTCCTTGGGATAACACCCAAAAGGAAATTCATTGCAACATTACAACATTACAATACATTGTAGTATTGTTTTCTAAAAATAGAGGGTTTTTTTTTTTTACATCATCATCTAACCAATACTTCAACCAAAATTATGTGTGTGTGCGCGCGCGTGCGCGCGCGCGCACACGCACGCACACACACACACACACACACACACACACACACTGCCATCACTACCATTTCATCAAGTTCCAGGGAGAATATACATGATCTATTTGTGCTATTTCTCTCCTCCTCCCCTCCCCCCATTTAAAAAATATATGAGATTAAATGTAAGGACCCATTGTGCTGCATCCTAAAACAGTATGAGATATTTATGTTAGCTAAAACAGTCTAGCTAGAAATAAGAAAAATTAAAATTCATGTCAAGTCTGTGCCAAAAATGTACCTCCTATGTCCTTGCTTCTATTTCTGCACCAGGATAAAAGAATACTCCCCATGAATTCTAGTGTCCTGGAAACCAGCACTCAGCTTTCCTTCCAGGCTCAATGAAGAGCTGCTGGGTGACTTAGCAGAAAGGGCCCCTCTCCTTCTCAGCATCCCCTGGGTATTTCTAGTCCAGTGCCACTCTGCCACCAGCGGGCTATATACATCTATTTCACCTTTGGCTCTCTCCTACTCACAGCCCTAGTTGAGTCTTGACTGGAGCCATCTGTCCTGTCTTTTCATCGTCGCAGCGTAAGGATGTCTGTGACACTGTGGTTATTTGAAAAAGCACTCTCAGGGCTCCCAGATCTGGTGCATGCACTCAGCTGTTCTATTTTTGGTTACGCTCTTTGTTTTCTTCTCGGAAGAGCCTAATTCCGGTCTGCGTTTTAGGCACCCTGCCATGGATACATTGCACCGCCCCTGCACTCGCTACCCAAATTGCCTATTCTAATTGCACCCAAAGGGTTCGGCAGTGAGAAAGAAACGCATGCACGATGAGGAGAGGGTGAGTGTGGTAATGTGCTTGCCAGTCTGCAGACTTGAGCATAACACCTGCTACACTTCTGGAATTGGGGAATATAAGCCCTTTTTGCAGTACAGTGATCACAACCACACTCCCACCAGCCTCTCTGCACTGAAAACCCCTGTTTCCGGTGGGCAGAGGCAAGCCCAGGCATCTGCCAGGCGTCTTAATCTGGTTTTCTTTGAGATACCCAGACTCTGACCTGTCCATCAGAAATAAAAGTTTTTATTGTCTAATCTTAATCAAGGACAGACTTTTCTAACCCCAAGCAACCCACCAGGGAAACAAGTATGATCAGACTGGCCTCAACAAGGGAACACGGGCAGACTGTACATTTATTTTCAGTGGAGTTGTCAGCAGTCAAGAACATCCTTAAAGACCAAATAATGTTTGCAGGTCTGAACAAATACATAAGAAAAAAATATATAAAGGGAATCAGAAGAAAGAGAAGGGGGGTTGCAAGGAATATCTTCATTCAGTGGGGGAAATACTAGAAAGGTGCAGCCCCCTCATAATATAGTGGATAAAGTGTAAAATAGACTAAGTGATGTCTGTACGTTGTGATTGGTAGAGAAAAGCTGTGAGAATCAATATCGGGGTAAGTTGTTGGAGTAAATGTTTGGCCATGTGCGCGAACGCACGGAACACATACATCTCTACCTTTAAAAGAACTTACTATTGATACCTTCAGCATTTTGCAAGCAGTAGCAAATGTTCACGAGTGTCAGTGGATTTTATGAATACAATGGCAAAGTGGAACTGAGCTCATACTTATTTCCTTTTTGTATTAATTCCCTGGTCAAACACTAAAGAAAATGGGTAAGCCAGGTATTATCAATGACTCGAAGCTTCAAAGTGACGGCTCATAAAAGAATACCAGGATTCCTGCATTACAAAGAAAAAGAGAATAACCCAGCAGCAGCGCCCCTGTCCTACCTCCACTGTGCCCCACCATGCCACTACTGAGAAAAGGGAAGGAAAGGAAGACCAGAGGGTCTTTAACCACACTTGAAAATTGCTGAAGGGGGAAGAAGAACAACCAACACCTGGACAATTTGGTTATCAGATTCTTTCCAAATGACCCTTTGCAGCTCTTGGAGCTGCCATCAGTGTGAGCTGGTAAGCAACAGGGTGCCGGATGTGCATCTTACCTGAGGAGCATAGAAGTGCAAGCAGATGTAGGTGAGACACAGGAGCAGCCCCAGCCCCTGGACCACAAAGGCCACCAGCATGAGCTTGTGCGTCTGGAATCTCAGACCTGGCGCGTTTCTCACATTCTCATCCAGGGATTGGACCCCTTCCATCTTCACAGTCTGGATGCAGCAAAGATGAAAACTGAGCCAAAGGGGGAGTCTGAGAGAGAACGGATGTCTCTCCTGCCAAGAAGGAGATGAAGACAAAACCAAGCGTATCAATCAGCAAATCCACAGAGGTACCAGGACCAGAGATAAGAGGCAATTGAAAGAGCAGAGCGGACTCTCTCAGTTTTAACACTGCCGCTTTGCAGCAGGCGGGGAACTTCTTTGTGACTAATCTGAATTTCCCCTTTACTTTCTTTCTTTCTTTTTTTTTTTTTTTTTTTTTTTTTTTTTTTCTTCTCTGGGCTAACAGGGAGTTGTTTTTGTGGCATTCCAGTTCTGATTTGAGTATTGTGAAATGGTAGTCTTTGAAATGTGCACTTTTCTTAATTTCTCATTGCACCAGTAACCAAATTGTGGGTCACTTAAAAAGATAAAAAATCATCATCCGTTGGTGTGGAAGCTCATCTATCCCTCTTCCCAGGTGCCTTAAATCACAGAAGATACTTAAGGAAAATGCTGGAAACTAAGCATTGAAACCCTTCTACAGATTTTAGGGAGAAGCACACGTGAATCATTCTCAAAGAGGAAAGAAAATAGGATGGTGGATCACATAGAAATAAAGAAGTGAGGTCCTCTAATTGTATTCCATTGCAGTGTAATAAATAAACTAGCATGCAGTAAGCTTCTACGGTCTTGTTCTCATTTGATCCTTTCGGGTGAAGTTAGCAAACACTTAGATGGTTAATGTTAAGCAAGGCAGAAAAGAAGCAGAGAGTATTCTGACTTTTCCCCTTTCTGTCCACTTTACTTTCTCCCCAAATGTGCACAAATGAATGAATGGACTCCAAAAAAACTTTGAATTTTGCTCCTTTCTTTGAAGTTAAGGTTGGACTAGGAGCTTAGAAAATAAGAGTATTCTATCATTAAGGACAAATATGTGATACCTTAATCAATAAAGAAATTTTTAAAAAGAGTATTCTATAAATTGACAGATACTGCTTACTTACCCTATACCACTGAAATAAATGACAAAATCATTTATAATGTCAAGTTCAAACTGACAAATATTTACTGAGTACATAGTAATAAGCCCAGTGCTGTTCAGGGTGAAAAAGGATGATGGAGAGGGCTGTTTAAGACAGAATCCTATCTCTTCTGGGAAAAGTGTGTCCCTCTGAGCTCCCCATTAGTCACTCAACATCCTGTTTAAAGAAAGGAGGGAGGGAGAAATATTTTTATATCAACAATAGGAGATGTTATATGCATTTATTCTTACAGAAAATGGATAGGAGACATATTCCAAAGAGAGCTTGTGCATTTTTATTATTTACCATTATAGTACTAGAAGCCCAATGCAATGAAATTCATGCAAGGGGCTTGGCCCTCGCAGCTTCAGCTGGCCCTCGCAGCCCTGGCTTCATCCAGAAGGTCATCCGGACAGTTGTTTAACTAATGTGTCTAATTAGCATATTCGCTCTTTATTATATAGGATGAATTAGAATATTCATACCATGGCACTCCCATGATAATCACTATGCCTTGCAATTGAAGGACGTGCTGGTTTTAAGAAATCCAAGTCTTTGCCTGAAAGATAAAGGGACTGAGACGCTGAGTCACAGATGCCAAGCCAAAACTAAAAATCAAACTTTCCTCAAACATGACCATTCCCATGAGCAAAGGATGTATAATACGCAGGGTGTGGGGGGGGGGATGAAATAAAAATCAGTGTGTAGAGCTTAATTCTTGTGTAATTATTAATAGTGATAGTTGATAAGTACTTATGAATTTATTGTAAAAACTAAGAGTCACAGCAATAAAAAATTTTCTGTAAAGCTTAAGATGCTATTGGAAACTGATGAAAATAGCTGAAAAAGGAAGAATGAAAACTATTAGTGCTGAAAGTCAAAGAAAATATTTTTGAATGATAGTCAAAGGATGAAAAAAATAAATAAAAACACATTTAAAAAGTACAGACTCATGCCTTGAGCAGCATCTCTTCTCACTGTTAACATAGCTTCTATGAAGAAAATTTGGTTAACTACCACATCTCCTTACAGACAATGAGAATCGTGCTACAGAATGAATTTCCATTGGGTGTTATCCTAAGGAAGCACAGCGTCAACTATATCAACATTTGGACACGTCTAAGACACAGCTCTTGTCTCCCATGTCTCAGTCTCTAACTGTCATATTTTGCCTCCTTGCAATTTTTTGTTGAAGCTTAAATGATACTTTACATTTAATTGTTTCTTTCTTCATTGAACACATTCTCACAGCCTCTTCACATTCTTTGTGGTAAGATGGGGAATGCACACAGAAAAATAAATTGGCTTGAAAGTTCCTGGAACCTTTGGCTAGACTAGGGAAGTGTTTCAAAATTCATCATTGGGCTGGTCTAGCAGCTGGAACATCATCAGAATCATAAACTGATAGCATTTCCATCTTAGAGCGACGGCAGAGTCCTCCATCTTCAAAGCTGACATGTTTTGAAAGAGATCGAGTATGTTCTCTGAATCTATGGGCAATATTTTAAAGCATCTCACAAAGGTCAAATGCACAGACACACCTGAGCAAACCAGCCTTGGAATGGAAGCCTCAGGCTTCATTCAAGCAATTACCTTTCCAAAGATCATTATCCTCTAAATGTACACCCCTTTCAAAACTACAGAAAAGTAGGGAAAATAAAATAGCTTCGACAACTGACAGAATATCTTATGTTTAGAAAGTAGCAAAAACTTTTTTTGATTTTTTTGGTTTTGGGTTTTTGTTTTATTTTGTTTGGGTTAGGGTGGTATTAAAATCTGTACTTTTCATTTGTTTCTAAATCAACAAATTTGTCCGTTTCAACAAGGATGAGCCAGGTGCCTACATAACGGTGCTGAGGGAAAAGACAGGAGCAGACCATATTCTCAGCCTTCCAGGAGGTTAGAGCCAGGGAAGTGTTGGCTCCAGGTGGCTGTACAGGAAGAAGGGCACCCGGGGGCGGATCCCATACAGACTGGTATTAGGACTAGGGCGGCTTCTTTGAGATTAGTCAAGTAAACCTCAGAAAAGCCAAAAGCCATCTGACCTTCACATGAGTGGGAGGGACAGCACTTTCCCAGCAGGGAGTGAGAAAACGTAGCCTGGGCCAGCAAGCATTTCTCATTCAGATGGCTATGAGTGGAAAGGAGGAAGGTGAGGAGAGTGACCCAGTAAAAGGTTGGGAAACTGTCAAGAATGGACTTAAGCCAGGGCAGCCATCTGTCTTCTTAACCTGTTCTTGATCCTGCAGTTCCCATTCTTCTTCATGTCTTCAGCACTCTAGGACCTCAGAACCCCAAAATCAGCTTTGACCGTTCCTTGTCCCCAATCAGTCAAGCTTTGTAGGGCTGAACTGCAGTACAGCTTAGACTTCCCTCCACATTGCTGTTCCTGCTGCTTCTGACCTAAAGTCCTATTTGGGTCACTTGAACTCCTGGATTAAACTTGCATTCTCTTTGTACTCCAACCTGATCTGCTTCAACAGGCCTTTAAACCCAGTGATGACCAAGATCCTATCAAGGGCCCCCATCTCAGAGAGGATAAAGTTGAAATTCTTCAGTATGATATTCAGCTCACTCCATCATGAAACCTCAAGTCCCCTCTCCAAACTTACCTCCCTCTATTTCCTAATTATTTCTGACATAACCTTACCCTTCATTTCTGATTATCAAAACCCTACACACTCACACTTCCTAGGAAGGGCTGGATGCCTTGAAAGGTCGTGAGCTTGCATTGTTCCCTGAAGAAACACTGTTCAGGGGACTCTAGCATTGGGTAGGGAATTTGTAGAATCAGTAGTTCCCAAAGCCTAGCTGATCATCATAATCACTGGGAGTTTTGAAAGATCCAGGTTTCCAAACCCTTTACTCTAGAAATTCTGATTCAATTGTAAGGTTGGAATAATGCCTTATGAATCTGTATTTCTACAAATTTTCATAAAAGCCAGGTGTGAATCTCCCTCACCCACACATGACCACTTAAGTTCTTTTTCACTGTTACATTCCTATGATAAGAAGCCTTCCCTGGCCTCCAGCAAGAATGCAACTGTTTCCACCCATTTTGAGTGCACTGATCATGCTACATCTTGTCTTACAACTATTTAAAATTATTTTGGTCCTCCCCATTATGTTGCATGGTCCTGAGGTCAGAAGTCCAATACCACGCTCACTCACATGGCTGGGATAGTTTTTCTATAAAGATTATTTGTCAAATTAAATTGAATTTGCTTGCTGCCAATCTTCGGCATGCTACTTTCAGGACTAGAACAGAATGAGAGTCTTAACAAAAGACTCTATTAAACACAGAAATGGCTCTATTAAACACAGAAATCTCCTGATAGCTAGACTTTGATCTTAGACGTGAAGAATGAGCAAACCTGAAATGTGTACTTTTCATTGAAACCGGATGTACAGCATTGGTTCAAATGCAAATGTGAGCCCACATGATGACATTCCTTTTGGGTTTCAGACTCTTGAGACCCTCCCTTGTAAACCCCTTTTCTCCCAGAGCTGACTTTCCCTTTCATTCTTCATGTTTACTGCTTTTCTTTATCTTGAATTTACCACTGGCAGTTATTTTAGGGCATGATGATAGATTCTAAAACTTAGTGGCACAAAACAGCAACAGAAATGTTCCTGCCTGTGGAGACATGACCATGAAGTAGCACAACATTGCGGAAAGCAAAAATCTGGACAGATTATTGGCACTCACAAAATTACACTTTAAATTGTACACTTAACACACATGTGCAATGCCAAGAACGTGGAAATTTGTAAGTATATATTTTAATTCATAATAGAATATAGTCAATTTTCTCTTTAAAAAATCAACTTGATTAAAATATAATTACAGACAATAAGCTGTGTGTACTTAAAGTGAACAATTAGGTGTGTTTTGACCGTTGTATATACTCATGAAGCCACAATCACATACAGAACCTTTATTCATCCCAAAAGCCCATTTTCTTTAAATGGTAATCATTCTAAAAACAAATCTAAATTGAATACATAAAACATTCCCTCTTCCTTCCAAAATACATTTATTGGGTATAAATTGGAATCAGTGTAAATCAATGATTGTCAACGGAGTGCAATTTTTGTCCCCCAGGAATCATTTAGCAATGTCTGGAGACATTTTTGGTTGTCTGGATTTGGGGTGGGTGTTGCTGCTACCTAGCAGGTAGAGTCTAGGGACACTGCTAAACATCCTATAGGGTGCAGGACAGCCTCCACTACAACAAAGGATTATTTGCCTAAAATGTCAATAATGCTGATGTTGGAAACTCTGGTGTAGATGTCCATGTCCTTCGCTGACCATGAAAGAGGCAATACAGTCTTTGCCTTTGCTTATTGTCCTGTCTGAAATGCCTCTCC